CTCAGCACCATTTGTTGAAAGGACTGTTCTTTCCATGTTCAATAGTGTGGGCATCCTTGTTGAAAATCAGTTGACTGTAGATGCACGGGTTTGTCTACAGACTCCCAGTTCTGTTTCATTGATCAGTATTTCTAGTCTTACCCCAGGACTACATGGTCTTGATTACTCTAGCTTCATAGTTAAGTTTTGAAATGTTAAAGTGCGTGTTCTCCAACTTTGTTCTCTCTTCCAAGTTTGTTTAGGATTCTGGGTCCCTTGCATTTCCATATGAATTTCAGGATCATCATGTCATTTTCTCCAAAGTAGGCCACTGGAATTTGGACAGGGATTGCACTGAATCTGTACATCAGTTTGAAGAGTGCCGCCATCTTAACAGTGTTCACTCTTCCAACACGTGAACAACATGGAATATCTTTCCATTTGTTAGCTTTGTAAAACTTTCTTTCAACAATGTTTTGCAGTTTTCAAGGTAAAAGTTTTAAACTCCTTTTGTGAAATGTGTTAAGTATTTTATGCTTTTTGATATTATTGCAGGTAGTACTGTTTTCTTAATTTTTGGATTGTTCATCGCTAGTGTATAGAAATAAAACTTAACTTTTTTGTATCAATTTTGTATCCTACAACCTTGCTGTACTTGTTGATTAGCTGTAATTGTGTGTGTGTGTGTGTGTGTGTGTGTGTGTGTGTGTGTATCCTTTAGGATTTTCTATGTACAAGATCATGCCATCTCTAAATGGAGGTAGTTTTACTTCCTTTCCAACCTGCATGCTTTATATTCACTACTGAAGTCGTCTGACCTTGGACTTTTCTTTGTAAGAATATTTTTATTACTAATTCAGTCTCTTGTTATAGGTCTTTTAGTTAAAAAGAATTTTTTTTTCTTGAGTTAGTTTGGGCGTTGCTAGGAATTTGTCCATTTCATCTAGGTTTTCTAATTTGTTGGCATACAGTCGTTCATAGTATTCCCTCATAATTATTTTCAAATTTATAAGTTTGGAAGTAATGTCCCCTCTTAAGTATTTGAGTCTTTTCTCTTTTTTTCTTGGTCAGCTAAAGGTTTGTCAATTTTTTCAATCTCTCCAGAGACCCAACCTTTCTATTTGTTGGTTTTCCCTATTGTTTTTCTATTCTTTGTTCCACTTATTATCACTCTAATCTTTATTACTTCCTACTTCCTACTATTTTTTCAGGGGGATGGTGGTGATTCTGCTCTTCTTCATTATTTTTCTTAAGGTGAAAGATTATTTATTTGAGCTCTTCTTTTTTAACCTTGGTACTTGCATATACAAATTTCCCTCTAAACACTGTCTTCTCAGCATTCCATAAGTTTTAGTATGTTGTATTTTTATTTCTCTCAAATAATTTTCTGATTTCTTTCGTGTGTTCTTCTTTGACCCATCAGTTATTTGAGCATGTTTTTTAATTTGCACATATTTGTAATTTCCCAAATTTTCTTCTGTTATTTGTTTCTAATTTCATTCCATTGTGGTTGGAGAACATACTTTGTATGATTTCAGTCCTTTTAAATTTGAGACTTGTTTTCTCCCAGATGTGTGGTCCATTCTGGAGAATGTTCCACGTGTACTTGATAATAATATGTATTTTGCCGTTGCTGGGTTGGAGTGCTTTGTTTTCTATGTCTTACGGTTCTTTCTGTTCCTTTATTCTCCATTACTGCCTTCTTTTGTATTAGATCTCATGTATTTTCTAGTGTGCCCTAACCTTTATCATTGTATTTATATATATGAGATATTTATAAGATATATATATATAATATATAGTTATTTTTAACTCAGTAGCAACTTAATTTACTAGTATGTACAAACTTTGTTCGTATATAGCTCTGTGCCCACCCTTTTGTGGCCTTACTGTCATACAAGTTGCATCCTTCTACATTGTGTGCCCATCAACACTGATTTATAACTACTGCATTATGCAATTGTCTTTAAATCAGATACAAGAAAAGAGTTAGTAACCAAAAAATAACGCTTACACTATTTTGTAAAACATGCCTATTAGTTATCCTTGCTAATGCTCTTTATTTCTTCATGTGGACAACCAGCTGTCTGGGTCCTTTCATTTTAGCCTCAAAGTCTCCCTTTGGTATTTCCCCTAGGGCAGATGTGCTAGTGACAAATTCTCTCTTTTCGTTTATCAGGAAATCAATTTCACCTTCATTTTTGAAGGATAATTTTGCTGCCCATAGAACTCTTCAAGCACTTTCAACATGGTATGGCTTCTTGATTTCTTCTGGCTCCATGACGTCTGATGAGAAAGAGCTGTTAATCTTACTGAGGATGCCTGTACACGATGGGTCATGCTTTCCTTCTTTAGACATGGTTCCTTAAGTTCTTTGAACATATTTTATTTATTTATTTATTTATTTTAAAAAGACACATTTATTCAGCATCATGATCAGACTATTACATTTAGCAATCAACAGCATGGGTGCAAAAAAAAAAAAAAATCTACATTAAAACCCTCTGTTGGAATGCTTTACACTTTCCACGGAACAGAAACTAAAATAACCTGTTATACAATTAGTCACAAATACAGTCCTCGAGTTTTTTTGCCCATACACATGAGTATTGTCTAAAACATGTCTTCTTTGTAGCAGCTAGGCCCTGCCACCACTGTGCTTGGCTGAGTTCACAAATCTGTTGTAACCTGTAGCTTCCCTGTCACTTCTCTGGCTCTCGTCTCCTGCTAAGCTTTGTTTCCTGGCAGTAATCAAAACCTTCTGCCACTGCCATAGCTGCTACTGCTGCTGCTGGAACCGCCATAGCCACCTTGGTTTCGGGGTTCGGCAAAGTATTGGCCTCCACCGCCATAGGGGCCAGAACTTCTGCCTCCAAAGTTTCCTCCTTTCACGGGTCCAAAATTTTAAGATTGATTGTTGTAACTGCCAAAATCATTGTGGCTTCCACCACCTCCAAAATTGCTTCCATCATTACCAAATCCATTATAGCCATCCCCACTGCCACCATATCCACCACCACCGCGGCTGCCACCAAAGCCACCTCGGCCACTGAAGTCTCCTCCATGACCAAAGTTGTCATTCCCACCAAACCCCCCTCCACAACCGCCACCAAAGTTTCCAGAACCACTTCCACCTCTTTGGCTGGATGAGGCACTAGCCATCTCTTGCTTAGATAGGGCTTTCCTTACTTCACAGTTGTGGCCATTCACAGTGTGGTATTTCTGAATGACAATCTTGTCTACAGAGTCATGGTCATCAAAGGTTACGAAAGCAAAGCCTCTCTTTTTGCCATTGCCTTGATCAGTCATGATTTCAATCACTTCAATTTTCCCATACTGTTCAAAATAATCTCTTAGGTGATGTTCGTCAGTGTCTTCTTTAATGCCACCGACAAAAATCTTTTTCACAGTTAACTGGGCACCAGGTCTTTGAGAATCTTCTCTTGAGACGGCCCTCTTTGGTTCCACAACTCTTCCATCCACCTCGTGTGGCCTTGCATTCGTGGCCGCACCCGCCTCCTCCACAGTGGCATATGTGACAAACCCGAAGCCTCTGGAGCGCTTGGTGTTTGGATCCCTCATTACCACACAGTCTGTGAGCGCTCCCCGCTGCTCACAATGGCTCCTCAGACTCTCATCGGTTATTTCAAAGCTCAAACCTCTGATGAAGAGCTTCCGCAGCTGTTCGGGCTCTTTGGGTGACTCTGACTTAGACGTGACGGCAGTGGAGGGGGGAGGAGACGTCAACGATGCTTACTCGGCGGCGTCCACGAGCAGAAAGGCTGAACATATTTTAAATAGCTGATTTAAAGCTTTTATCTAGTTAGTCTGGACATTTAAAATAAAATAATGTGGCACCTCTGGAAATCAGATTCTCCCCTCTTCTTCTCAGGGTTGTTTGTTATTGCTGCTTACTGTAGATGTTGTTTGTTTCATGACTTGTCCGAACTAATTCTTTAGTCTGTTTTCTCTATTGTATGTGGCACTGAAGCCTCTGCTTAGTGATTGATGGAGATTTCCTTGAACGCTATGCCTGGTGCCGACGGGTCTCCCAGTCCTTGCCAAAGGGGCCCAGTGTGCATGTCAGGGCATCCCTTCAACCCTCACTCAGGTAGTTGGTAGCCCTACCTTAGCCTTCACTTCCTGCTTGTACTGAGCCTCCAGATCAGTCAGAGGTGAGAGCTTGGGTCTCCTCGGGTATTTCCTGAGCATGTGCACAGCCCAATGCCAGTGGCCTTCTAGTGTCCTGGGATCGTATGGGACCTTTTCAAAACCCAAGTAGGCATCTCATTCCACGGCTTTTCCTTTTAGGCTTTTTGGCTAGTGTGTTGTTAACCCCAACTATTATCTACTGCCTCAGGCAGCCAAAAAGGGAAAAGGCTTTTTATACGAAGCAAACCACAAGTCAGGTGAAATACAGAGTCTGCAGCTGGCGTCTTCTGGTGAGCTACCTGATGTCCAATAGTGACAGTTCTTCGGGAACGAGGCTTTGAGAAAGCTCTGGCCCATTCTCATCTTTCCAGGCAGTTGGTGTTTAAGGCTGCTGCAGAGCTAGAGAGCAGGAGATGGGACGAAGGCAAGTTCAAACATTACAGACGTCGTGGGCATCATTCTGTGGCTGTTTATGCTGAGATTCAGCATTTTTTCTTGAAGAGATATGTTGCTGCAAGCCTTTGATTAATATCCATAGTTCTGAAAAAGAAGATTCTGACAGTTTTAGTTTTCTTGTTGCTTTTATGGAGGAAAGAATTTTCAGAAGTCCTAATACCTCCAGTTTTGCTGACTCCACTTCATATATATTTAATGTTCACTTCTGTATGTACTTTCCCCATATTAAATTAAAAGCTGTTGTAAATCCGGGTTCCAGGAGGCCGTGTGGAGCAGGCTCCAAGGGAAGGGCTGTGGATTAGACAGAATGATGCAGCCTCTGCTGGACAGAAGAGCGTGAAAACCTACAGGCTGTCAGCCCCATGGGGGTCAGGAACTCTGCCCTACAACCCCTGTTGCTTTATGTCTCCCAGGTTAAGGCTGCCAGGGGCTCAGCTGTACTCAGATGGACGGGACGGAGACCCGACAGCGGAGGCCAGAGGAGCTGGGCCTGCTGCACGGTCTCAGCACAGGAAGACTCCCTGAAGCCTCGGAAGATGGACCGCTGAGTGTCCCTGAGAGCCAAAGGGTGGCCCCTAAACCCCTGGGGCCTGAGCTCAGCAGGGAGACCACCTTGTCCATTGGCCTCCAGGTGACAGTGCCCTTCCTGTTTGCAGGCCTGGGACTGTCTGGGGCAGGCATCCTTTTGAACTATTTCCAGGTAAGAGGGAACTAAATGGGGATGGTGGGGGTCGGGTACTGTCTAGTGTCAGCCTAGGGAGTAGGCAGGTACACATTGTGTCCAGCTTGGGGGCAAGGGGCAGGACCTTCTCAAATACCATTTTTCTAAAATTTGGGCAAGATTCTTTTAGTTACTGACATCAGAGACTAACTTTAACCCAGGTTAAGCTTTAAGAGACAATTATTAGCTCATATAATTGAAATATCTGAGGGGCTGGATTTCAGGCCTGGCATGATCCAGGTGCTTAAATGGTATCAGGTTACTGGCTCTTTATCTGTCAGCTCCGTTTCATTTTCACGCAAGATTCTGTACTTAGAGGGGAGGGTGGCCCTTGGCAGTCAATCCTTTGTAAGTGTGCTCTTAAAAAAAAAGCTTTCCGCGTCCCTCACTGTGGGCGTCGGGACAGAGCGGCGCAGTCCGCTCAGAGGGTTCTAGGCCAGCTGCTTCATCACGGACCCCACCGGCGCCGACCCCACTCCTCATTGAAGAGGAGATGGAGGGCCAGAACAGCGCCATTGCCGCCCGCATGTGCGGGTCCTGCATTTGCGGGTCCTGCATTTGCTTCGACTGCAAGAGGCAGAGTGACCCCAACTTCAGGAACAGGCTGCGAGAACAAAGAAAGAAACAGAAGCTTGCCAAGGAGAGAGCTGCACTTTCCAAGTTACCTGACCTTAAAGATGCTGAAGCCATTCAGAAATTCTTCCTCAAAGAAATACAGCTTAGTAAAGAGTTACTAGCGCAAGGTGAATATGAGAAGGGTGTGGACCACCTGACTAACGCAGTTGCTGTGTGTGGACGGCCACAGCAGTTACTGCAAGTGCTGCAGCAAACTCTTCCACCACCAGTGTTCCAGATGCTTCTGACTAAGCTCCCAACAGCTAGAGAATTGTAAGTGCTCAGAGCTTGGCTGAAGATGATGTGGAATGAGGAACAAATGTCAGCATAATCATCTCCATTAGAAAATATTTTTAAATCTTTTCTAAAAAAAAAAGAAGAGGAGAGAGACTTCTTGGTCAATATCCACATCAGTCTCCAAATATTGACCCTGCTGTCAAGTGTCCAGTCCTGTTCCAGTTAGTGCTTCCTGAGGGATGACATTCTCTGCTCGGCAGCTTGACTTCTCTTGTCGTCGCCCTACGAGGGGAGGCAGGCCCCTTGATTTACACCCTAACAGAGCCCCATAGCGTGAGGAACTGGGAGTAACCCATCAGACAACAAAGCTACCAGTGTACCATCCCTTTCTTTTTTTTTTTTTTTTTTGCGGTACGCGGGCCTCTCACTGTTGTGGCCTCTTCCATTGCGGAGCACAGGCTCCGGACGCGCAGGCTCAGCGGCCATGGCTCATGGGCCTAGCTGCTCCGCGGCATGTGGGATCTTCCCGGACCAGGGCACGAACCTGTGTCCCCTGCATCAGCAGGCGGACTCTCAACCACTGTGTCACCAGGGAAGCCCACCATCCCTTTCTTGTTCTTTGAGTATCAAAAGCCCCATTCCTTCATCAGCATGATCGGCAGAAGTCCTCCCTGGAAGAGCATGGTACCTGAGAATACTTGAAGCCATTAGTGGCCAGGTCGTCGCTGTTGGTTGGCAAGGAGCTGAGAACACAGACTGTCTGGAATGGTGAGCCGGGAGGAACGGCAGCCTCTGCCCCTCTTGCTGCGGGCACTCCGTGCCCAGGGAACTTAGGCCTGCCCCTCACTGATTTGGAACCAGTCAGGGTTTGAGTCCCAGTCTGCCACTTAGCTGTAAGGCTGGTGCTTTAAAATTTTTAAGACCAGCACTTAAAAATCAAGAGATGTCACATAAAAATTCAAGTTCCTGTTTTCCCTTGAAAATCTGGCAACTCTTCCAACATTGGACCCACATTCCCTCACAGCCACAGTTAGTGGTCACTGCCGTCTCGGTGTCCACGGTCCCCACCGTCCCTCGGTCTGCACCCACTTCACTCCACTACCTGCCTGCCCCTCCCTTGCCACCTGGGGTCCTCAGTGACCCTTCCAGCCCATGCAGTCCAGTTCCTCGTAGCGTCACAGCACTGGTGACGGCCAGCTGCCTTTCCAGGTTACTCCCAGACCTGCTCAGACCCCAGCATGGCTATGTGTCACGCCAGAGTCCCTGCCCTGGTGTGACCCAGCCCCAGGCCCCCGTTTGGTCTCTGTGATCCCCAGACCCCTCAGCCCTCTCCTTCCTCCAGTGACCTGGTGCCCTGCGGCCCCATATCCTTCTTTACCCCGCGGTGAGTCACACCGCTGTAGCCTCCAGAGCACCTTGGGGCCTGGCTTCCGCGTGCCAGAAGCTCACATGCCGCAGACCTCCCCCAAGAATTCCCTCTTCCACCTGAAGGCCGCCAGCCTCCTCGCCAGCCTCCTGACTCTGTCTCCCTGAAGTCTGTTCTCTGTGCCGCGATTTTCAAAAAACCTGTTTCATTGTGTGTTCAGTATAACACCACTGAGCATGTATCCCCTGCACACGCACATGTGCTCACTGATACGGACACGCGTGTGTAGGTCACGTACATGTGCGTATTTATACACACATTGATTGATACATATACATACTTGTCTGTAAATATACAGACATATAAGTCCCCTGCACATGCTGGTTTATAGGTTGCGCTTCGAGCGGCAGGTAACAGAACACTGTGTGGCTTGGAGCCCAGACTCCAGAGCAGAACCAGCTGGGTTTGCGTCTGACCTTTGTCACTGGCACAGGCTGCCCTGTGTTCCTGGTTTTCTCCTCTTAAACCAGAGCTGAGGGAGAACTGCCCAGGTTGGGCTCCCGGGAGGGCTGTGACATGCGGTGCCGGGGCCTTGGACTTGGGTCTCGCCCACGAGGGTTTGTGGCCGACGTTCTTCTTCTCGTCGATACTCCATCACAGGTAGTTCTGTGCTGATGTTTAAGAACTTACACAAAAGCTGCGACTCAGATAAGAATTAGAGATACTGTTCTAGTGTTTCTTTCCCATGCCTGGGGGCAGGGCCCGGCCAAGCAGCCCCCACGATGCATCTCTCCCCAAGTTTTAAATCTCTGTGCACTTGCCTACTGCCTCTGGGATAAAACCCAACCTCCTAAAATGCATCTGAACATCCTGAGCTCACCTGGCTGTATCAGGATGGTTGCAGCCACAGGTACCAGAAAACCCGACTTACAGTGGGGTAAGTAGGAAGAAAATATGTCATCTCCCAAAACGAGCTTTCCAGGATAGGGCGATTCTGGGGTTGGAAAGTGGTGTCACCACCAGCCAACGATGTGTCCGAGGACCCGGCATCTTCCCAAATCCTGCTAGTCAGCCTCCACAGGTCAGCTTTGTCCTAGAGGCGTGTCGTGTCCAGAGGGAGAAAAGCAGACCGTGTTCTCGTTCCTCCTTAAGTGCGAGGAAACTTACCTGGGGACTAACTCCCCAGCCTCTCCCCGGCCAGATGGGAGGCACATCCCACGTGAAAGCCACATGTAGGCAGAGGGGATGGAACAGCGTGATCAGCTGGCTTAAGTCATGGTCCGAGGGGTGGGTCCTGCTGCTCCGCGGCCTCACCTGGGCCTCCTCTTCCCCCTCCCATGTCCTTCGGAGCCTTTCCTGGGACGCCGCCCCCAACATCACTTCCTGGGGCCTTGCCTCTACCTCCTCGGTTGAATGAGACTCCGTGAGCCCAGAGGCTGCACTTTTTTTTTCTTTTAATACATTTGTTTTTCTGGAAAAGTAAAGCATTCACGTGCCCGAAAGGTCAGCATGTGCACAGGGACAGGACGTGCTCCTTGCCTGTCCCCAGGCTCTCGCTTCTCCAGGGCAGCCAGGACCTGCACCTTCTCGTCTGCCTCTGCATTCCTCTCACCCTTTTACGCATGTGATGGCACATAGAAACTGTTGTGTGTTTTGCTTTTTTCACTTTACAGTGTATCTCAGAGGCTATTCTTTGTAAATATGTTAAGAGCTTCCTTTTTTAAAAAAAATTTTTTTTTTATTTTATTTATTTTTGGCTGTGTTGGGTCTTAGTTGCAGCACACGGGCTTCTGTCTAGTTGTGGCGTGCGGGTTTTCTCTAGTTGTGGCACGCGGGCTCCAGAGGGCGTGGGCTCTCTAGTTGAGGCTCACAAGCTCTGCGGCATGTGGGTTCTTAGTTCCCTGACCAGGGATGGAACCTGCGTCCCCTGCAATGGAAAGCGGATTCTTTACCACTGGACCACCAGGGAAGTACCAAGAGCTTCCTTTTTTTTTAATGGTCGTTCAGTATCCCATCAGGCAGACACACCAGCGTTTATTCACCTTTTTTCCTCTGATGTTTGTTTAAGTTTCACAACTATGTTAGTTTGCTCGGGCTCCTGTAACAAAGTACCACAGATGGGGTTCTTTAAACAACAGACATTTATTCTCCTGTCCTGGAGGCTGGATGTCTGAGATCCAGGTGTCAGCAGGGCCTCTCTCCTTGACGTGTAGACGGCCGTCTCCTCCCCGTGTCCTCACGTGGTCGTTCCTCTGTCTGTCTGAGTCTCCTCTGACTATAAGGGCCTATTGGATATGGGCCACCCCCCCACTTCCAGCTTCCTGTCTCCAAATACAGTCCCATTCTGAGATGCTGGGGACTGGGGAGGGGCACACAAGTCAGCCCGTAACCACTTAGAGCAGCACTGCTGACAGTGCCACATTCTTTACACGTCTGGGTGAAGGAGTGAGATGGATTGCTGCAGGCAGAGCTGCTGGGTCAAAGGGCATAGGCGTCCGTAACCATGATAGATGTGGGGCTGCTCCCACCTCCCTTAACGGTGTTATCTTCAGCCTCTGTGATCCTTCACCACCTGGCAATGGATCATACACTGTATGCTGTGACCTCTGCTCCAGGGAGTTAGCTGTTCCGGGGCTCAGAGCTTAAGCAGCTTTGTGCCCCACGGCTGCTGTGGGACAGCAGTCAGCAGAGCTGGGTTTCGGCTTCAGGTGTCGTGATGCTGCAGCCGAGGGGTCAGCGTGCTGAGGCCTTCATCCCTTCC